GGGAGTGTTTCTAGAGCCACTTTAAAATGCGCGTGTGAATGAAGATACCCCTTTGCATGAATCTGAGGGAATGCAAATGTTGGCCTTTAAATGTGCTTTTTAAATAGGTCTCGGTGTGCATGTATCTGCATGTGATTCTGTGTGCGCATACCTATCTTCCTCTTTGCTCCAAAGTGTGCATGGATGGGAATGAATGAGTATGAGCACTGCAGTGATGTCTGTGATAAAGGCGGCGTGTGGCGCAGTGGATAGAGCCTTGGTGTTGGGATCAAGGGAGCACAGGTTCAAACCCCACTGCAGTCAGCATGTCGTTGTGTCCCTGGGCAAGACACTTCGCCCCAAATTGCTCCTGTGGGGATTGTCCACAGTATTGAGTATGTTAGTCGCTTTGGATAAAAGCGTCTAACAAGTGACATGTAATGTAATAAAGTATGTCCTGCAGCCTGCTCTGGCAAAGCTCACCTGGAATCTGAGTCCTGCTGTCAGCTCTCATCTCGCTCTCTGACACGGCCCCCAGCCCACGGAGCACTCTCTAACCTTTCAAACATTCGCAGTGGGTTGCCTGATTCCCCGTGACATGCCATGCTCGCTCCCTCACCGCATTAGTATAGCTGCGCAACACCTTATGTTTGGCTAGCATGCAAAGGTAAAGGATTTTTGTTTTTTTCTGCACTGTGGCTGTTGGGTAAATGTGAGAGCAGATGGTCAGGAGGGACAAATGTTTAGGGTTAGGATATCGTCTTGGGATAGGAAGCACATGCGCAAAATTGGCCAAGTTGATTTGAAACATCCATTCTAGCTAATGCTAAGGTCCCGTCACATTTCATTGTCTCTTTTCCCCTCCCTTAACTGAGGCTGATTGTATAAGTGAGGCAGCAAAGACACAATAAAACAGGCTTCAAGGACGAGAAGATGTTTATCTAAATACAAACATGCAAAATCAGGAAATCAACTCTTTTGTTGTTCAATAATCGTGAAGTAACAAAGGTATATTGTACTTTTCAAGTCATTACTAACAAATATCCTTAATTGACACAGAAAAAAAAGGTTTTACTTTGAGTATTGCTTTGAACACTAAATTATAACTTGAATTAACCTCCTGCATTTCATTGTATTCTAGTTCTCCTTTTGCCAATGCTAATAGCACCACTTACACTTGTCATATTACATTGTCAAGCTAAATGTAAAGTTACATTCGATTGATTTTGCTAACTTATTACTTAACTTATGAGGCAATATACCTCTCCTCTAGTGAGTGTATCTAGTCGTATATTTGTCTGTATGTGGACTTCAGTGAAAGAAAAGTATTAATAACCCCTCTTCTAGATGGACGCTATTAGAAGCTTTTACTGTTAGCTTGGAAAAATAAAAGACAACCTTTAATATCCTCCCACGTTGTACTTCTTATTCTTCCAACACATCCTCACTCCCAGGTCGGCCTATGTTGACGTTATGTCAAGGTGCCCTGTGTCGGCTTTTTCCAACGCCAACGCCTTAGCGTACATTTTCAACTTGCCGGGATGTCCATAGTCCTCTGTATAGCTCCCTAAACGTATGTTGTAGACGACTTGAGATTGCGAGCGAATGCTACCCGCAGATCCATTCTCACAGCGTTTATCAACCTTTTTCTTACTCAATATCAAGCCACACTTATTGTTTTTACTTCTTTATTTTAATTGAATAATGTAGGACTTTTGTTGCTGTCAGTTATGGGGAGAGCAGGGGCTCAGCATTGTCATGAGATGCCGCCGGCATCTAGGTACGCTGGGCATATTTGTTGTCATGCGTCATGACGTGCCGCCGGCGGCTGAGTACCGTTCTTATTATACATCCATGCTGAGTACCGTTCTTATTATACATCCATGCTGAGTACCGGCACTTCTTACTGAGTACCGGCAAGGTGCCGGTACTCAGTAAGAAGTGCCGGTACCACATGGGTAAAAATGAGAAGTGCCGGTACTGTGTACCGGTGAGTACCGGCCCAATTCAAGCACTGGATGGAACCACGGCAGACTGTCCAAAACTGGATTTGAACTCTCCCCATAACTGACGGCAACAAAAGTCCTACATTATTCAATTAAAATAAAGAAGTAAAAACAATAAGTGTGGCTTGATATTGAGTAAGAAAAAGGTTGATAAACGCTGTGAGAATGGATCTGCGGGTAGCATTCGCTCGCAATCTCAAGTCGTCTACAACATACGTTTAGGGAGCTCTATAGAAGCCTATGGACATCCCGGAGAGTTGAAAATGTACGCTAAGGGCCGCCCCCTTGCCTTGGAAAAAGCCGACACAGGGCACCTTGACATAACGTCAATATAGGGCGACCTGGGAGTGAGGATGTGTTGATTCTTCAAACTACACCACACATACTTGTATGTCTTTATATAAAGTGTATTTTGTGGCATCACTATATAATCCCATCTAGGCGCCTGCATTGCACCCTGTTTGGTTGAGGCAGCCAAACCATGTCTCACAATGGAGTGTGTCCTATCACATCATACATCATAGGAGAACACTGCATCATCCTGTCATTATGTTATAAAAGACCACTCCATACATCTTCATATCCCCCATTCTGTCACTCGTCAGCGGCCACGGTGCCTCGATCTTCAGCTGATGCTGCTTCAGTACAAGAGGAGCAGAGGTGTTAACTGGGTTAAGGACCAGGAGGATTACCTGGTCCTTTGCTGCTGCCAGCCTCTCACACTGACTCACTCAGTCAGGGTGGCCATTTGACAGCTCTATAGCACAGCCATGTCTGAGCTCTAAGAGGAACATGGGAAAAAAAAGGGGAAATGAGATGAAGGGAGTTTTACTTCCCTGACCCTGGACTTGAGGAGATGACGGATAAAAAGATGACACGAAAGATTGCAGTCAACTTATTTCCCCTACTCCCACTCTCTGACTCTGTATTACTTTCCTCCTTAACCCGCACTCACAGAGCCACTACAAGTCACTCACTCAGAAGCAAAGTGAGCCATCTTAGGGGGGCAATCTAAGGCTGTATTTGATAAGCACCCCTGACTGGCAAGTGGGGCCACTACAAGGTCACTGAGCTCTGCCCCATACAAGAAAAAGGCACAGTCTGCCCTGGCATCACATCAAGTTCTGCAGGCAACAAAGGATGAACTCTAACAACACAATAACCTGCTCTGTGTGGGCACTGAGAGGGCAGCGGAGATGCTGTTCAGATAAGTGTTTCAATACTGAATTATAAAGAGAGAAAGAGGGAAGTGGAGGCGAGGGGTGGAGGGTGCACATTTTCTTTCTGAGCCCAGAGCAGCATCCAGAGAGCGGGCTTGGCAGGGATCCATGTGTCCCTTGGCGTTAGTACCGCAGTCACATTACATTTCCCCTCTCTACTAGATCGCTGTGTGCCCAGCCGACGCTCCCATCCAGGACATGTCGTGTCCACTTTAGACTTTAGGCTCTCTGGCTCGAGCCAATCCAACAGCTAACAAACTGGAGCAGACTGTGGAGTATATAATTGTGTAAATAATTCAGGTAGTCAATGAATGCAATGAGTTAGGGTGCTTGAGTTTGATGAGCTTGCCATCTGCTGTACTGTAAACTGGAACCTGCTGAAGCTGAGTGTGTTTGACAAAAGAAAAGACAACAGAAAGGCTGCTGCGCTACTTTCACATACTTACACATCCACAAGCACAACGGAGAGTCAGAACATAGCCGTGCACGTGCAGCGAGCCCCCGTGTTCTGCACATGTTGTAAAAAACATTTCAGACTTCCTGTTTGTTGACACTGAGATTCACATGTGCCACATACTCCCTGTGCTGATCCTGCACCAATTAATTTCATGAATGACTAACTCGTGTTTGGTAACAAACTCCCAGTGGCTCTAGGCTTACCTCACTAACCCCCACCCCCCCAGAGGAGTGGCACAGCCAGGAATAGTCACAGGATAATGGAGTCAGAAGCGTTGTCCCTCGCTAATAATTACAGATCCAAGGCTTAAGATTAAATTCAGCAAGCCAGTTTCTGAACAAAAACCAGAGCATTTGCAGAGTAAAATAACTCCTGTCTACTCAAGGAAGCAAAGAAAAAATCAAATCTGATGCATTTACTTAATGCACTTAGATGAGCTTCTTTTGTTGGCCAAATGTCTGAGCTGTCACACAAACTGTGTCATTTCCGTGGAGCTTGTGCTGGAAATAAATGTATGAGCTCCCTTTAAGTCTCAATTCTGCCTTGCCAAGGAGGAAATATTTTGGACAACATGGCCCTGAAGAGAGCTGGGGCCATGTTGTCTAAAATGTTGATTAGGTTTGGCATGTGTAGAGATAGATTGCCTGCCATCTTTTCATTACTTCTCTGGAACCCCTCAGAGAGAGGGCATGGAGATGGACTTGAGCAGGCAAGGCGTAATTAAACTTCCACAGGCAGGTCATGTGCTGTTAAATGCTCTGCCACCATTTCTCATTACTTAACAGTGTAGTCCAAATGATACGCTGTCACTGGGTAAATTAATTGGCATTTGGTGAGGGCAGTATGCCAGCATTGTCTCCTACATGTGTAGACTCCGTGGGACCATGAGAGGGTCCGCATTATCTGACCCTGATTAAGAACATAAGACGAGTTGAGTACATAACAACTCTGGGTTATTGCACAATCCATATAGCATGTCATTTCACAGCTGTCGGACCCGTTTGACCTTTGAATGCACATTTCTTAATTTGCACTGCAGCAAGTACTTTTTTCTTAATTTGCGTTTGCCCTACATTTAAGAGACAGCTCATGATGTGAATTAAGAGAAAAGTCTTGCATAAACCATGAAGCAGAATTGTAAGTGAGCAGACAAACACTGCACAAAATACCACTTCATGCTCTCGTCGAGCTAATATCAAAGCCAGAACAGCAATACCCAAACGCTAGGTACCAAAGGACAGCATTATTAATATTAAAACAGAGCAGATTTAAACCCCGCAGAAAGATGTGTGTGTATGTGACCTTTTGTGTTTCTGGTGCAGCGCCAGCTCGTCTTACCTCCAAAGTAGGAGCCATCTGACAGCTTGGTCTCTTTATTGCCTTTGGTTAGTACGCCGACGACCCCATGCTGTATGAAGTACATTTTTCTTCCGATGGTGCCCTCCCTGATGATATAATCCCCCGGCTGGAACACCTCGAACTTCAGCTTGGTTAGCATGGAGGTGACAAAGTTGGGGTCGGCGTTGGCAAACAGAGGCATGCACGCCACCAGCTTTCGACAGTTAAAGTTGATGATTTCCTGCGTGAAAACACAGAGACAGCAGAAAAAGGCATTGGCCTGTCACGATTTTCAGATAAAAGAGGATATTAAAACAGCAAGAAATATCAGCTGTGTCGACATGTCTTAGTTTTTTTCTGAGCTCCTTTCAGTTTTACTCTGGTTTGGATTTGGCCTCGAGAAAATAACAAAACTGAGTTGAACTGAGGGTAATGTCAAGCAGTACACAAGCTTCTGAAGGCATCATGTGTAAAAGCTTCTTGAGACAGGAAAAGTGATCCCACCTCTCGGAGCGGCTCGTTCAGCTCTCCCAGGATGCTCTCCTCGTCGAACATCTTTCCCTGGTACCGGTGCTCGTAGTAGTCGTGGATTCTCTGCCTCATATCGGCTGGCAGCTTGTGGAAGGACATGTACTGCTCCACTTGTTTGTACTGCAGGGACACAGAGACACACAACAATCAGGTTACTCAAAGGCCAATGTGCTGAAGCTCAGATACACAGGGAACAGCTGGCACTGAGGTCACACACACAGGGACATTGTGACGGATACATACAGGCCATGCAGCCTCTTGTAGGTTACGGCCAACAAGATAGCACTTTTCCAGTCTTATGTCTTGCCTCTCAGTCTGTCTTTCTCTCAGAAGACTGATATGAGGTAATAACTCAAATTGAGCAGGGTGGTTGTCAATTTTTATGTTGTCCAGTGCTTGGGATAAATAAAAGTTTAGGTTATCAAAATCATACAACATTTATTGATTGTATTTCAATACTTTTCATTCACATATAGTATCTAATAATGTATAAATAACATAACTGGATGCAGTGTACTGTTGTGTGTTGAATGTATTTGAAGGCTAAAGTACTCCGTATGATCTGATAACAAATCAAATGCATGCATTTAAACCAATAACGGGAGATAAGACGAAGAACCTTAAGACAATATGCTAAATGTCCTTCTGTGTGTGCATGCAAATGATTGGTTAAGCATCATAGGTAACACTTACATACTGAATAGACATTTTATTTTTGTTAACATACTAAGCATACTAATTTCAGAAATGCCTTATACACATAATGTGCTGTAGTGAGCCATTCAATTGTTGCAATTAGTAACAAACACAGCCTAGTGACTCCTCAAACACAGTGTGTTTAATGTATGTTTAACAGTGAAAAAAGCATGTGGTTGCATCATCTGGTCTTTATGTTGCTTATTAGAATAAAAGTATTAAAATGTGTTGGATGGCCTTTCATTGATGCTATAGTATCACGCAGGGATGCAGATCAAAGCCCAACGAGAGCACCTCGGGAATAATAACAGGTAGAATCCTTGACCCTTAGTAAAAGGGAAAAAAGAAATTAACCATTCATAGGGCGATGGTGGAGGTGCTCTTTGATCACTATTTTTATGCTGCCGACAGCCTTACCACTCAACGACATGGCTGACCTCAGATGTCTCCCTCTTTGTTATCCCACTCTACTATCATAGTCACCAATAATCTGGCAGCAGAGCATCAAAAGACCAATCTTCTGGAAATATAGAGCAGTAAATACGGACATGCAAGTCAAATTGTGTTTGTGAAAAGCAGAAGAGCTGTCAGGCTTTCTGAACATCAAGAGTTGGAAAGAAACGAATACGAATCCAGTGTTACAAAACATACAGGCAGGATAAACTACTGTATTATAAAAGCACTTGTGAATTATCAGAGGCCAAAAATCCTCTGACATCCTGCTGTGTTTCTTACTCTCTAAAACGCTCACGTCTGCAATGTTCTATTTTTTCTCTGCTCGTCTAAATTTGGATGGATTTGAGTTGTGTTTGACCAGAGCCTTTAGAGTCCCTCACAGACAAAGACAACAGTCTGGAGTCAGGCTGTGCATGCAGATGACTCAGCTCCCTCCACTGTGACCAGTTAGCTATAAACTGCTGCATGCCCTAGCTTGTAATCGTGATTTGTAATGCATCGTGTAATCATAAATACTACAAGGTAAACATATGCCATACCTGAAAGTATCAGAGTATATTGTATGTGGATATGCAAACATGGGCTTCTACCAGAAATGCTGCATCAGATTAGATGCATACAGTACATATTTCACCTCATCTGATATTCATAAAATATATTTTCACCTTTTAGGAATGTCAACGGAAATATCTGGCAATTTATAAGGTTACATATTTCACGAAGCAAGAATAAGATGTGGAGAGAAGCTTCTACATATCCGGCCTCGGTGCAGACATGGATGAGTTTTGTCACGGGGTAAGGGTTTGAGTCTTTATCCCCACAATCCCTTTGGCATAAAATTGAGCATTTACTGATCTGATGATGAGATGGTATCCTCGCAGAGAGAAGAAGTGTTGCACTTGTACTCCAAGAGACATGAAAAGCAATAGAAAAAACAGCGGATATCTCCAGCTGCAGTCCTATTGGCTACAGAGTCACAGCGATGATGGCTCGTCTGCGCGTGACGCCGGGGTGAAGCTGACAGGTGTAACCCACATTCTGCATCTTGTCTAATGTCTTTATGTCTCCTGCATTAGACATGCTCTGTTTCAAAGGCGTGGATTATCCTCCAGAGTGCCTCTCAAACCTTTCATTTTTTACATTCAGAAAAAAACAAGCATTTATCCTATGTTACACTTTGATTCCCCTAGCATGAAAGGGCATTAGTGAAGTGAACAAACGCACAACAATGTCTCATTGCTTTTATATTGTGATGAGTAGAACTGCACAGGAGCTCAGTGTCTCACTCAAAGGCATTTCATATTTACTAATACACAGCTGAGCGTGAGAGGAGGAGCTGACAGGGACAGGGGGGACGGCAATCTTCTGATGCTGTGATTGGGCTGATAACACCCCCTGTGATGGGAAATTATCTCATTGCTGCACAGCCGCCATCACGCTGCCACCAGGAAGATCCCTGCTCCCCTGCTCTACTTGGCTAAATCAAATCATTGTCAGCATTAAAGAGGTAATCATTCCACCATCAGCCTTCCTCGCTACAATCTGACAGCCATGGGGCTCAGACTGCAGGTGGGCTGTTCAAAATGTAGGAGCTGATGAGAGGCATAGGATTGATTCTTTCTATCAATCCTTCTTGCTTTGGTTTGACGTTTGGGGAAAAATGCTAAATCGTCAGAATTTAAGATTCTTACCTCCGACACATCTGTACGCTTACCTGTAAATGACGTAACGAAGTTGCCTTAATTAAAAGGAGTAACAATGTTAATGTCATAGTTCAATTGGATAAATGAATACTTTATTTCATGTTATTTATAATCGTTAAATATGGCATGATTTAATACAGTTTGTTTTACATCTTGGGCCGATATGCGTATGTGTTTCTTGTGCCTAGGAACTAATGTTTGTTCATGTGCTGGTACTGCGTGTTTTGCTGTTACACTGTACAACTCCATGTGGGTTGACGTCTTTTTGAAGCTCTGCTGAGGTCTGTGATAAAGTTTAGTGTGACGGGAGGTCTGTGACGAAGTTATGCAGAAAAGGAACTAAATTAATCTCCTTTCACGACAAGCGGCCAACGAGGTATTTGTTTTGTGTTTTCATTTTCTTGTTTTCATTCATATGTGTAGCACAATATGCTAATGTCTTTGGCTATGTATGCGTGTCATTTCGGTGTTGTAGTTCTCACAGCGTAACGGAAGAGGGAAGGCTACAGGATGAAAACTCCCAAGAAATAAACGCCCGTTTTAAAGAACCGACCTGTGTCTGTGTCGTGAAAAGAGCTACACTTACCATTAGCAACTTCTTAGCTTAGCACAGGGGGAAACACGAGGTAACACGTAGTCTGGTTTTGTCAAAATGCAAAAAAATGGGCCTACAAGTACCTCAAAGCTCGTGCAACAAAATATCCTGTTGCTATCTGCAAAGTATGGCTTCCTCAAGGTGACAACTAGAAATAGTCACATAACTCATAAAAACACATGTCGTACTTCTTCTTTGTTTTTGTACAGATTAAAACAAACTGAAACATGCTAGTTGTTTCCCGATTTGTAATTAACAACAAGGAGCAAGGTTTCAATCTTCTTATCCAACTCGCAAGACAGGAAATACATTTAGAATTACCTTAAAGAAAGAGTTTCATCTTTTAAGGTTTTATCACTGCCATATATTGATGATGATTTGAAAAACTATGCATTTTCTGCCATAATGAAAAGCAATGACACAATGCATTCTGCAAAATCACATTGTTTGTTCTTTTAATGACAATTGGCCGTTTCAGTAGAAAGTTCCATTATTAACTGTGTCTCTGTACAAACTGCACTGTAAATAACGTAGTTTGACTTGCCGTCTTTTATATCCCCGCAGAGAGGTTTGAGTGTGAGCCCAATAGCTTCCAGCATTGGAAATATTACAGTAGTAGTAAAATCTGCCCCGAGCTAAACCGAATTGCATCTTCCCGCTTTTTCATTTCACAAATCCTTTCCCTCCGTTTCCAAGTTTCCGATCTGTCTTCACATGGCCATTCTTTGGTCGTTTTTGTTATCCGTACTTTTCTTTTTCTTTGTGTCTCTCTACGCTTTATCGTGCTATTTATTTCCCCCCTAGTTTCATTCTCTCTCATCCAGCTCTCCAAGCAGATGCACATTCTTCCCACATACAGCATGAATAATTCATGTCCCAACAGATATGTCAGCCACTAAATTATACTTTCTAAATATGTATCTTCCCCCCACTATTCACTGTCTGTCTACTACTCCATAACCTTGTGTTGTGTGGTCAAAAGGTCTGGGCCATACAACAAGACGTCCTGAATTCTGAAATGCTTGCACCCACAGATGTATGCATGAAAAATAGGCAAAAGAGAACGTATCGAAAGCGCATTATAGAGACTGTTCACCTGCTTTATTTGTGACATACTTTCATGAGGGAAAGCTCAGTCTTGCACACGGGAACGTGCATGGGGAGCCGTTTATATAATGTAGTAACTAAGTATTCTGCCACTACGAGACAGGTGGTGTCCTAAAATGACAGCGACAACTTATTACATCTCCGCCAAATTGAGTTGTCATTCACTCAGCATGTAAGAACTGTCACTGTGAGCATAGCATTTAGCCTAAAGCACCTCTGCGCCTGAGTACAGCCTCACACAGCTGCTAGCATGCTGTAGAATCTTAATTTGTATTGCATATAGTCTGCATAGTCCTTTTCTCAGTATGGAATAAAACACTACACCAGGGATCTTCAATGTCCTTTGCACAGATGACACTTGTGAAATGTCAGGAAGCCAGGGGCCAGAAAATAAACAAAGATCATTCATATTTATCAGATTACATAATAAACATTTAACGAGCCATAACTCATCTTTCTTTGTTTGAAAACTCCGAGACCCAAGGACTGACACTTTGCCTTTATGCAAGATGAATCTACCCTTTAGGTGAAAAAGCTTTAATTAATGAAAAAACACATTTATT